GGAGAGAGAGGGAGAGAGAGAGAGAGGGGGGAGAGGGAGAGAGAGAGGGGGAGAGAGAGGGAGAGAGAGAGAGAGAGAGGGAGAGCTCAATATATCTCTGCCATTGAATAAACCAGCTTAATTATCTCAAGGATTACAAAAACAGACAATCCTGTTGCCTGTCACTCCAATATTTAAGGTGACAAGCGATGTCTTTCTGACAATGGTGGCTCACCTTTTCTTCCACTTGCTTCTTGGATGGTTTATTGAACTTCTTCTTCACCCGCTGCGTCAAGTCATGTAAACTTTTGGCTTTCTGTAGCTTCATCTTAGAGTTCTCCTGCGCTCGTCTTTCCTTGGAAGCACTAGTTGACTCTACTGATGACGCTGATGAAGACTCAGACGGTCCCGATGACGAAGAGGAAGATTTTGTGACTTTACCTTTCTTGCCCTTGCCTTTGCCCAGATTTTTCCCCGCTGCTTTAGCGGCTGTGTTGTTCACTTTCTTCTTCTTGGCTGTGGACTTGGAGGGGGAGGAGGAGGAGCCTCCAGAGGCTGATGATGAAGATGATGAAGATAGTCCACTAGGACCTGGCTCACTCTTGACCATTGAGGTGTCCGGCGTACTCACAGACGCAGTCAAGCGAGGAGATGCTGAGATTTCTTTAACATACTCCTCAGAAATAGATGCAACTGTCACTTTGGCTTTCCCAGAGGTAGGAACAGACGTGGGTTTGGCTTGGGATGTTTTGGTGTCTGGTGTAGAGACAGCGGCTGTCGAGGCCTCCATCTTCACATCTTTGCTATTTAGTTTGGCGTCTTTGTTGGCTTTGTTTGCCTCCGCGGCTTTCTTCGTGTTCTTGGGGATGAAGTTGGACAGCTTCCAGATGGGTTCCCCTCGGGGGGACAGGGATGGGGAGGGCTGGGGGCTGGGCTCGCTGAGAAAGATGCGCTCGCTGCGCCGTCTGCTCCACTCATCGTCCACAAACAGTGGCTTTAGTGAGGAGCTTGTGTCTACCTCCAACTGGGGAGAGGTTGGGGGTTGGGGGGAGGGTGTGACATTACTAAAATGTGAGGGACACATGCAGGCAGGAGGAAGTGTAAGCAGTGCCTTGAGCTCAACACATACTGATAGACAACGGCTTCTTAATTTGATCTACCCCAAAAAAGTTCTCACAAACCACACTGTCAGGAATATCTCTGTCTGCATCTATAAAAAAAAGCAATCCCCAAATCAAACAGCATCCCTGCACAAAAATGGAGATAGTGAATAGAAACACTTTGCCATGAGGGAACTGATTTCATTACTTTTGCATGCTAAGCAAAAGAGCCATTACCATTACACTACTGACACCAGTGTAAAGTCTTAAATCGACAGTCAACTTTTTCTAGTAGAGGTGCCAACTGGCTAAGAAAAAAAATCTATGACTTTCCAGACCCTACAGATTCAGGCATGTAATTACAGTGTAATCCTAATAGACCTTGTATCAAGACTATATAAATAAAGAACAATATGAGGACAATATCAGAAATTCTGGCCACATAAACAAACAACTCACTGCCGTCCTGACATCGGTGGAGGAGCCCGTCTCCGACAGCTGCAGCATGCCCAGGTTGTTGGACTTCTTGGCCCAGATCGTTTCTGTCCACACAAACAATGATATAGAAATGAATAAAACAAAACTGTAAGTAGAAACAGCAGTGTTTTGACATCCCAACAGTCTGCTTCTTAACTTTCTGCCAGGGCCACAGCGAGAAGAAAGGGATACAATTTCTCCCCTGACAGACGGAGATAATTGATTTTTAAAATATCTAACCCATATTAACATAAAGCAGTAAAGAGCCTAACCTTTTAAATTACTGATGCCTGAAGAAGGTTATGCCCCTTGTTAATAAAAAAATTAAAAGCTTTAAGTTTTTGTATATGTGTGCATGTGCGTATGCGAGAGTGTGTGTGTTTGTACACTTACCTGTGCCCCCGGATGTCTTGTTGGTGTTGATTTTCCTGGGTCTTCCTGGCTTCCGCTTCTTGTTGGGAGAACTGTCACTAGTGTCTGTGTCAGAGTCTGTGGAGGTGACGACAGGTGGTCAGGTCAGTTTTAGCAAGGTTTTTACGGCACTTGTAACCCAAATAGATCAAATAAGTATCGAATGTTTGAGGTGTTACTAAAGAGTAACATACAAAGAAAAGATGGTGGATGGATAAAGATGATAGACATTTAGTAGGAAAGAAGGAGAAAACTACACCAGAAAACCTGCCAACCACTCACTGGTCGAATTCAGAAGGGATTGTTTGAAAAAAGAGAAGCACATCCTAACAATAACCATCATATAGCACAGGGAAAAAGAAAGATAGACAACCTGGACCTTAGTTTTAGTTTACTTTTAGTAAAGATTTACGGCACTTGCAACACAATAAGGTCATAGAAGTGCCGAAGATTAGAGGCGTTATTAGAGAGTAAAAAAGAAGAAGGGGGAGAGATCAATCAGGATGATAAATGTTTCATAGGAAAGAAGAAGCAAACCACACCAGAGCAACTGCCAACCACCTATCAGCCTGAATCAACAGAGGGAAAGAACAGGAGTGGGATCTACCAATGGATCCCTCCAACCACTCACTGAAATATCTCAAGCAAGCAGAAAGAAAAAAAATTACCTAGGAGAGGGAGGCTAAGGCCACAACCATATTAACGCCCGACACGGACGGTCAGACCAGACCGTCTTCGGGCACAAAAGAATGCGCACCGGATCGTTAGAAATGGGAGGTGACAAAAAACGCTTTCGGCTACCATACTGACCCCCGATGTCCTGTGTTGTCCCCGGTCAGACAGTCTCCGATAAAATATGTTCTATCGAAGACGGTCCGTCCGGCGAGATGGGAGGTAATTTTAATGGTGTTATCTCTGCATAGTTGTGTCCCCTTTCCCGCCTCAATGACACTACACTGAATTCTGGCAGTTCTTGATCAGCTCTGTATATTTCTAGCAGTTCATTAAAACTTCTATGTTTCATGCAATAGTATAGTTGGAGTTTTTCACTTTCTTCCAACAACTGCGGAAACAAATGAAATTCACCTAGTGTATCACGCTTTCTTTGGATGAGGTGCACAGAAAATCTTTTTGTCTTGGTTTTCCCGTTTTGTCTGCTTCTCAAAAGCAACATCAACACTTTTTTTCTTTAACCACACACCATATTTTGCAAGACGGCAGGGTCTGAGCGCCAAACTCCGGTGTTAGTATGGTCGGCCTCAGCAGACGGAAAACGGCGGGTCTGGTCTAACCGTCGGTGTTGGGTGTTAATATGGTTCTTCCCTAAGTATTGTCAACACATTCTGATTGAAAGCTCTCTCTCTCTCTCTCTCTCTCTCTCTCTCTCTCTCTCTCTCTTTCTCTCTCTCTCTCTCTCC